CAAAGTGGGAGGATCACTTGAGTCCAGGAATTCAAGACCAGCCTGGGCAACAAAGTGAGACTCTATCTCTACAAAATATTTTAAAATTAGCTGGGCATGGTGGTGCACATATGTGGTCCCAGCTACTTAGGAGGTTGAGGTGGGAGGACCACTTGAGCCCAGGAGGTCCAGGCTGCAGTGAGCTGTGATCATGCCATTGCATTCCAGCCTGGGCAACAGAACAAGACCCTGTCTAAAAATAATAATTTTTATATATATATATAAAACTTTTGGGTATATAAGACTAGGTTAAATAAAATATATTACTAAAATTAATTTCATCTGTTTCTCTTTATATTTTTTAGATTGAATACAAACAAATTAACAATTACAGACTATCGCCAACTTATAATGGTTAAACTTTATGATCAATAGTAATAAATTCCATGAGAGAGTCAACACTTTATTATAAAATAGGGTTTGTGTAACACGATTTTTTCCCAACTGCAGGTTAACGTCAGTGTTCTGAGCACATTTAAGGTAGGCTTGGCTAAGCTATGATATTCAGTAGGGTATGTGTATTACATGCATTTTTTACTTACAAGATTTTCAACTTATGATGGATTTATTGGGACATAAACCCATTCTAAGTCAAGGAGCATCTGTACACATGAAGCTAACATTCTATTCCTATAGTGCTGCTCTAAAGCATGTCACTGCAAAACTTAAGCCTTCAAGTAAAATGATTAGATTTGCATTTTAGAAAGATTATATGCCCTGGTGAGACTGGGTTAAGATTTAAAGCAGACATAAAGCTATTCCAGCTGCTGGGGCAAACAATGAAAAGGACCTGTTTTAAAACATGTACAGTAAAGGTTGAGGAAATAACAGCTTTAGGCTGGGCATGGTGACTCATGCCTGTAATCCCAGCAATTTGGGAGGCTGAAGTGGAAGGATCTCTTGAGACCAGGAGTTTGAGGACAGCCTAGGCAACATGGCGAAAATGCATCTCCACAAAAAATGCACTCATTAGCCAGGCATGGTGGCACTGTGCCTGTAGTCTCAGCTACTCAGAAGTCTAAGGCAGGAGGATCATCTGAGCCTGGGGAGATTGAGGCTGCAGTGAGCTGTGATTATGCCTGGGTGACACAGTGAGGCCTTGTCTCAAAAAAAAAAAAAAAAAAAAAGGCCGGGCATGGTGGCTCACGCCTGTAATCCCAGCACTTTGGGAGGCCGAGGCGGGCGAATCACAAGGTCAGGAGATCGAGA